AGGCCCTCCTTGGGCAAGCATTGGAGTCTCAGATAGTCTTCAAGATTCAATTGTTGGAGAGAGGATAGTTGGCAAAAATCCTTATAATCTAACATTCTAAGATTGGAACATTTACTGATGGAAAGAGTAGTAAGAGAAGGTGGAAGCAATTATGGTTCAGGTAGAGACTCCACCATATCATCCGAAATGAACAAAGACTTTAGAGAGGCATGATTATGCAAACCCCATTCCATTCGACCTGCAATAAGTTTTGGGCATTTATTGATATGAAGATACCGAAGTTTTGATGGCAAACTCCCCTCTGGAAATGATTCCATTAATGGACAATCACTTATTTCTAGACTAGAAAGAGATGGAGCAAAAATGTTCATACATTCAGGCAATGATTTCAAATTCCCTAAATGTTTGAGCCAACACCTTTGTAGCTTAACGGCAAAAAACCCCCTTCGCCAAATGATACAACTTTTGGACACTTCATAATTTCCAAGTGTAAAAGACTTGTTGGGTCGTGCATGCTTCCCTCTGAAATAGAAATCATTTCTAGATTATCACACCCTTCAAGATACAGCCACTCAAGTGCAGGGAATAGATCCAAAGCCAAGTTCTTAAGAGACCCACAACTTCTTTCTAATCATATTTTACGAAGTGAGTCATAATGTTGCTGCTATGAGAAATCCAAATTCTGACATTCACAAATGTCCATCTTTTCAATGCAGTTGATAGAAATAATGTGCTCAATCTTTTCAAGCAAAGTTGTATTCGTGCATGGTCCATGAAAGCAGAGTTCTTTTAAGTCAAAGGAATATATTCCAACTGCACATTCCCATATTTTCTAAGAGTCAACCTTTAGATCATTAGAGCCCAAAGAACCAAAGCTACAAGTACTTGGCAATCTTCAATAATGAGATTTTCTAAACAAGGAAGTTGATCAGGCAACTTATCTTTCAACTTTGGACAATTTCTTATATGAAGCTTTTTAAGGAAAGGGAAGGCTCTTGAAGCAGTTGGACAATCCTATCCCTCCTAATTTAACATTTCCTCAAACTTCAATATTTCAAGAAATCCAAATGAAGCAATACTACTTCCATGAAATTCAGCACCCATAGATATAATGCCATCCAACCCTTTAATGAACAAAAATTTAAGAGATGGCAAATGACCCAATGATGGTAAATGGTAACAATATCTACAATATTGCAATGAGAGTGACACTATATTGGACAATGTGTTGTCAGCAAACTAGTCTGTAAACCTCATACCACCATAGTAGTTGATTGATAGTTTCTTCAAGTTTTGGTGAGGTTGGAGTTTTTCTAGCATATCCCTTTCATTTTGGGAATCATCATTATCATTTTCACTCCATTGCAGGATTAACTCCTCAAGGTATTTTTTTCCTTTCAAGTTTGCAGCTAAGGCATCCATTCCTTGAACCACATTCTGCAGCCCACAAATAGAAAGTTTTCTTTACAGATTAAGTTCACCTAACTGTTTGATGTTAGATTCAGTATACTTGCCCACATAAAATGGTGTTAGACAAACTTGGAGATTTTTCAACTCTCCCAACTTTAATGGAATCTTTTTCAATATGTTGTCTTGTAAGTCTAGATGACGCAGACTTTTTAATTTATGCAAATCCGAAGGCAACTCTTCCAAATACACACAACTATTCAGCTTTAATGTTTGTAGATTACATAGAAGACATATTGCCTCAGGTAGTCTCTTTATTTTGCTATGGGATAGTGGCACAGAGATTGAATGGAAAAATGCACTCTTGATTATTTTCAAACTTAGCTACTTATTACACTGGATGCGTGGCCTCTTTATACTAGAGTCATGGCTAAATGAAACAAAAATGAAACAGAATAATTAAAATGGGGGTTTCACAGGTTACAAATGGGTTTTGAATGCTTTTAAATAGGGAACATTTCTAAGGCATGAATGGACGTTTCTAAGGCTTCAATGCAGCAACTTCATTAGCTTCCGTTTCTGCCATTTTCTATTTCATCCTCCCTAAGGTCGATGGAACTCGCCCTCGAGTCAAATTCGGCATCATGATCAATGTAAGGAGATAGATCAGCAATATTGAAGGTGGCAGATACACCATAAGAACCAGGTAATTCAACCTTGTCAGCATTAGTGTTGATCTTTTGCACTATCTTAAACGGACCATTAGCTCTTAGGGACAACTTGACGTTTGGCTATTTAGGAAATCGTTCCTTTCGTAAATGTATCCAAACCAAGTCTCCTACCTTAAAAGTCTACCATCTTCGATGCTTGTCACGTTGAGCCTTGTATCTTAAATTCTGCTTTTGGATTCGCTCGCGGACTTGCTCATGTAACTTCTTAATTTCCTTAACCCTTTGGTCAGCATCAGGGCTATATTACTGCTTATCAAGTGAAGGGGTCAAGTCTAATGGACTAAGGGGACGAGTGCCATAAACAACTTCAAACGGACACTTCCCAGTTGCTTGGTTGACAGAGTTATTATAGGCAAACTCAACTTGAGCAAGAATGAGATCCCCCTGCTTCAAATTCTTCCTCATGAAACTGGGAAGAAGATTACCAAGAATCCTGTTTATAGCTTCAGTTTAACCGTCTGTTTGGGGATGACTAGTGCTGCTAAACTAGAGCTTAGTTCCCATCTTCTTTCATAGCGTCCGCCAAAAGTGGCTGAGAAACTTCACATCACGATCAGAAGTGATAGTTTTAAGAATGCCATGAAGATGCATAATCTCCTTAAAGTACAAGTCTGCTACTTGAACAGCATCATTAGTCTTCTGACATGGAATGAAATAGGCCATTTTTGAAAAACGATCCACAACTACCATGACAAAATCTTTTTGCCTTTGAGTCCGTGGTAAACCCAGATTAAAATCCATAGTTATATCTTCCTAAGGTGCTCTAGAATTGGCAGATGCATGTACAATCCAGTATTCTGACCCCTGGATTTAGTGAGGTGATAAATTCTGTATCTCTGTATATGCCTGTTGACATCCCATTCCAGTCGAGGCCAGTAAAAGTTCTCCTTCACTAGATCAACTGTTTTGTACCATCCAAAATCTCCAACTAATCCACCATCATGTGCTTCCCAAATTATAGCTTCTCTCAAAGAACCTTGTGGAATGGATAGGGTTTTGCCTTAAAAACCAGTCGTGTCTGTAGAACTGGTGGAAAAGTTGATTTACAGTTACTTCCCACACTCCTTAAAAATCAGGATCATCCTAGTATAACTCTTTAATAAAGTCAAACCCAACAACTTTGGTTTGCAGTGTTGTGAGTAGCACATATCGACGGCTAAGAGCATCAGCTACAGAGTTCAAAGTTTCAGCCTTATGCTTGATAAGGAATGGATAAGACTGTAAAAGTTTACTCTAACGAGCATGTCTACGGCTGATCTTCTGCTGGGAATTCAAATACTTGAGAGCCTCATAAATAGAAAAAAGTATGAACTCTTTATTCAGGAGGTAATGACTCCAATGTTGGAGAGCTCGAACAATGACATAAAATTCTTTGTCATAGCTAGAATACCTAAGCTTGGCATCGTTGAGCTTCTCGCTAAAAAAGGCAATAGGATGGCCCTCCTAGCTTACGACAGCACCAATGTTAGTGTTAGAAGCATCACAGTTAACTTTAAACACTTGGTCAAAATTAGGAAGAGCTAGGACTGGAGCTTCAGTCAACTTTTTCTTAAGCTCCTCAAAGCTTTTCTGAGCTTGCTCTGTCAACTAAAACTTCTCTCCTTTGGTGCAATCTGTAAGTGGTGTAGCAATAGAGCTAAAATTGTGGATGAACCTCCTGTAGAAAGAAGCTAATCCGTGAAAGCTTCAAACCTCCTGGATAATTTTGGAACTAGCCAGCTGTCAATAGCTGTAACTTTACTTAGATCAACGCGAACACCCTTTGCGGTCATGATGTAACCCAATAACACAACTTCACTAGTGAGGAAGGTACACTTCTTGAGATTTACATAAAGCTTCTATTTACACAAGGCTTGCAAAACTTGCCGCAAATGATCTAAATGTTCTTCTTGATTCTTGCTGTAAATAAGAACATCATTAAAGTACACAATAATAAATTTTCCAATGAAGGGTCTCAATACCTTATTCATCAAGTGCATAAATGTGCTAGGGGTATTTGTTAACCCAAAAGGCATCACATTCTACTCATACATGCCATCTCTAGTCTTGAAAGCGATCTTTCACTCATCTCCTGGCCGAATTCTAATTTGATGGTACCCACTACGAAGGTCAATTTTAGAGAAAGTAGTGGCACTATGCAACTGGTCTAGCATATCATCGAGCTGAGGTATCAGAAATCAATACTTAATAGTGATTTTATTGACAGCTCGGCAATCAATGCACATTCTCCAACTCCCATCCTTCTTAGGTACTAAAAGAACAGGTACAGCACAAGGGCTAATACTTTCTCAAACCAACCTTTTCTTCAATAACTCTTCAACTTGCCGTTGGACTTCGACATGTTCCTAGGGACTCATCCTATAAGCAGGCTTGTTAGAAATGACTGCTCCTGAAACGAAGTCAATTGCGTGCTATATGTCTCGCATGGGAGGCAACCCTGGTGGTATCTCATTAGATATTACATCTGGAAATTTTGATAATAGCAGAATGACTCCTGGTGGATTGGCCGACTCATCGTTCACCTCAAGCAACAGAATAAAGCTCATCATTTAGGCTTCAGACTTCGACACCTTGAATTCCTCTTTAGTCATCAAAGACACTAATGGCTTAGAAGCGCTAGATTCCTTTGAAGATTGGCTAATCTCACTGGGTGGTAAAGGCACTAGTGTGAACTTAACACCATCTTTCGTAAAAGAATAGGTATTTGCTCGCCCATTGTGCATAGCATGTCGGTCATATTGCCATGGCCTCTCCAAGAGAAGGTGGCATGCATCCATGCATGGGAACAACATCACATAAAACTTCATCACAATATTGATTCCTAATAGAAAAGGTCACAAGGCATTGTTTAGAAACTTTTACCTCATTCACTTTGTTGAGCCAATGAAACTTGTAAGGTTACGGATGATCTTGTGTTGGCAACTTCAATTTCTCCACCATGTAGTCAGATACTACATTTTCACAGCTTCCACTATCAATGATGACATTACAAAATTTTTCTTGGGTTATGCAACGACTGTGAAAAATGTTACGTCATAGCCAAGGTTCTTCTTTGACTACAGTTGTATGCAGACTTCGTTTAAGCACCAATGCTGCTCCCTGATCAGCAGGCATGACCTCCTCGTCATACATGGGATCAGTGCCGTAGAACTCAGAGTCCTCCTCATCTTCTTTAAGTGCTTCATACTCTGGTCCTTCCCTAATGGTGACAACCCTTCAAGTAGGACAGTCCGCAGTAATGTGGCCAAATCCTTAGCATTTAAAGCATTTGATTACTTTAGAGCTAGATTCCTTGGCAGCATTAGATGGTGGTTTAGGCATAGTGATAGAATGCAGCTTACTTGAGGAGTTAGTCTACTGAAATTTTGCCTTACGGCCTTCTGGATAACCCCTATAGGACGATGGCTGGAAAGTAGATCTCTTGGGCGTCTGCTTCTCAACACGCATGGCTAGACGGATGACATCATCCAAGGTCCAATATTGCTGAAGCTGGATTGGACAACTGATATCTATGTTTAAGCCTACAAGGTACCGGGCTATTGTTTGCTCCTCATTCTCCTGAATGTCACACTTCATCATGAGCTACTTAAATTCTCTGGTATATTCTTCTACAGATAAAGATCTCTGTCAAAGATTTTGTAGCTAGTTAAAATTATCTTGGTAGTAATGATCTAGCAGAAATTTCTTGGTGAGCTAGCATTTCATTTTCTCCTAGGTCTCAATCTTGGGCTTTCCCTCACGTTCCTGCTTCCTTCTGAGGTTTTCCCACCAAATAGAAGTATGTTTCTTGAGTTTAAGGGCGACAATTTTGACTTTCTGCGCATCTGAAATCTCCTTGTATTCAAATACTCGTTTAACAGTTTGCAGCCAATCTACAAACTCATCTGGCTACAAAATCATCTGGAATGTCTACCTTGATGTCATTAGGGCAGAATTGTTGTTGTTGTGGACGACGGCGGTTGTCAGTGGATGATAAAATACTGCTTCCTAAATCTCCCTCTAAGTTTTCTCTGTTGTTGTTTAACAGAGTTCGCTGCAATTCCACAGTGGCTTCCAACTCTCGTATCCTATGTCTCATCTCTTCCATCTCAACCTCGTGCACATGCCTATGTCTTGAAGGCATTTTGGATAGGCGTCAAGGCTAGGGATATTGGAAAGATTGGGATGCAGATGGAAATATTGAAAGGATATAGGGGTAGAATAGGATTTTTAGAAAAGATAGGGGCAAAATGAAAATTTTTGACAGTCTAGGGGTAAAATGGAGATTCTGAAAAAAAATAAGGGTCAAACTACAATTTATGAAAAATATAGGGGTCAACATGGAATTTAGGTAAAATTAAGGGGCAAAGTATAATTTCAGGAAAGTTTAGGGGTCAAAATGAAATTTCAAAAACTTTGGGGTCAATATTGAACTATGGAAAGATTTGGGGCAAAAATATAATTTCTTGAAATATGGCTGATTGTGAATAGTGATGTGGCAACTGTGACACGTGGCATCGAACGATTGGGCTGACCTGTCATTGACCAGTTATAGAGATGACGTGGCAGATGACATCATCGTCGTCTTCCTTCAATTGGCGCGTGAATTGGCGGTGAGGCGAGTGGGCTTCCAACGATGGCGCGTGTATGTTTTTTCAATGACAGGGAACCTCCTGTTCCACATTTTCGGACCTCCTAAGTACGATAATGATGTCAGTTTTTCGAGAAAACACCTGGATTACAAAACGCGAAAATGTTAGGGACTCCTCCACTGAATCTCTCTCTTCTCCGGCGTACTTTCTCAACTGTAACTTACCCTCTCGCTCTCTGGACCTGCACTGATACCAAAATGGCACAGAGACTGAATGGAAAAATGCACTTATGATTATTTTCAAACTTAGCTGCTTATTACACTGGATCCGTGGCCTATTTATACTAGAGTCATGGCTAAACGAAACAGAAACAAAACAGAAGAATTAAAATAAGGGTTTCATAGGTTACAAACGGGTTTTGAATGCTTTTAAATGGGGAACGTTTCTAAGGCATGAATGGACGTTTCTAAGGCTTCAATGCAGCAACTTCATTAGCTTTCATTTCTACCGTTTTCTATTTCAAATAAGTCAAGGTATCGTAAATGTATGAGATTTCTTATAGAATCGAGTAACTCCACAACATAAATAGTGTTACATAGAGATAAAAATCGCAAAAAATTACGCTTTGACAATTGATCAAGTGTTACATTGCTCCAACTCCAACTGAAATATTGATAAGATCCAAGAGGCATGAATGTCCGTAGTTTTCTACTTTTGTGCAGATGCACAAATTGTATAAATTTATTATACCCTGGCACTAAAAAAGATAAGTGACGATTTTTTTTCTAAAATATTCAGCACTCCTTCATCCTCTTACCTTGAACAAAATTCTCCATATACAAAATTTCCCAAATCATTAAGAAGGTCAAGCATAACAAAATGTGTTTCGTTTTGCATGGATTTTTTAAAAAAAGACCTTAACACAAGTTCCTGGAAGCATTCATTGTCTCCCTCTTCAATTGCCATATCTAGGTGTGAGACTTGTAAGAAATCTTGAGCCATCCATAATAGAAATAACTCCTCCTTATTAAATTCATAATCTTTAGGATATAATGAACAATAAGCAAAGCATCACTTAAGATGAGAGGGGAGACGATGATAGCTCAATACCAAAGCGGGAAGAATATTGTTATATGAAATGTTCCATATCTCACTTGACAAAATGGCATTCCATTCCTCCCAAGATAATTTCTTATACAAGAGACTTCCAATTGTTTTCAAGGCCAAAGGCAAGCCTTTGCACTTCTTAACTATCCTTCTACCAATTTCTTCAAGATGAACAAGATTTGTTTGAGGATAGAAGTTGCAAAATGCATATTTAGTAAATAACATCCAACCATCTTCATCTGGTAATTGACATGGGTGGTGTATTTGATCTAAGTGGGCAGCCAAAGCAACATTCTTATTACATGAAGTGACAAAAATTCTACTTCCTATAGCCCCAACAATGAAAGTTGCTCGAAGAGCTTCCAATGATATATCATCTTCACACCAAACCTCGTCAAGACCAATAAGGAATTTCTCCCCAATCAACTTCTTTAACTTATTTTAAAGAATATTTAAATCTTCTATGTCATCATTAGACATCACAATTGCCTTAAAAATAATTTTTGTTAACCTCAAAATATCAAAGTCATCGAAAACACATACCTAAACTCTAACATCAAATTCACTCTTCACTCATGGATCATTATAGACAAGTTGAGTAAGGGTGGTCTTACCCAATCCACCTATGCCCACTATAGAAATTATTAAAAGGTGATTGTCATTTAGCAACCAATTAATGATTATTTCTTTGTCCTCATCTCTGCCATATATTCCAACTTCATCCACCAAAGAAGTTGTCTGCAACTTCATGATTGATCCAACACCACCTTTACCTTGTTTTAATCCTTGATTAATCTTTCTACCCGCTAGAAATTTGAGGTTTTCCAGTACTTGTTTCATCCTTGATTCTATCTCCATGCCAAATGAACTAGCAGAAGAATTGTAAAAAATTTTGTACCTTGCTAGTAACAGTAGCTTGAGTTTCAGCTTCTTTGGAGACATTATAGTTAATCTCGCCCAAGACATCCTCAGCATCTCTGAGCTCACAAAGCCAAGCCTTCACATTTGGATCGCTGAACTGCTTATCCTCTGCGTCATCAATGACACTATTGATGGATACTAGAGTCTCCTTCAATCCTCTTTTCTGGAAGTAGTCAATAACTTCATGAGAAGCCAACTTGTCAAAAGCCACGTGAAGGAAGGAAGACAGAATAGCACCGCCAACAAGTTCCGCAGCCATGGTATGGAGTAAAGGAATCAAGAAGAGACAGGGATGACACAGAACAGAAAAAATGAGCGTGACGCCTGATGCCAATGCACGTGAAAGCTAATAGCTCTTTCGCCGAATAATTTAACACAGATCGAATTCTTGAGATGCAGATACTGACATACAACAAGCGGACTTTACTTTTCATTTCTTTCTTTGTTTTTCTTTTTTAAGTGTTTTGTGGGTGTATGTGTGGTTCCAACAAGCCCACGCGGTTCACGTAACGGCATTGACTAAACTTTGTCTAAGGGAACAAAATGTAAATGACGGATTAAATGTCATTCTCCAGAGTGTTCATATGCTATTAAAATTTTGACTGAATTGATGACTCCTCTTTATAATTTACTCCCCTATTTTTATAAACTTACTTTTACTAGATTTGTCAGAGTCAAAAAAATTTTAAAACTCATTAACTTTATTTAGAAATTTAAGAAATTTTCAACTTTATCCTAATTAAATATACATATTTTAATAATATATTTTCTCTTTACAACATTTAATAGAAAGTAAAATGAGTAATTTATGACAAAAATTTAATAGCATGATTTATAAATAAAAAAAAATATTTTCTCTACCATATAAATGGGATTAGAGGTAGTGTTTTCACAAGTCATATATTCCTTCCGTACCATAATACAAGACATTTTTTAAAAACTTTATCTTATTCAATATGATATTAAATAACTTTTATATTTATTTTTTTAACGATACCCTTACTTTCTTTATTACTCTTTTTAAAAAATTATGCACTGAATTTTAATTACTATTATCAAAGCTTTTATATAAGATATTTAATGAGAGTATAAATAAAAAGATGTGAATATTTTTAAAAATTTAAAATTTCAACTAACATTATTTTCAAACTATAAATTAATTAACTATAACTTATATCATGGTTCATAAGGAATAAATAATAGTAAACCTTGCAATCATTTCTCTGTCTGTTTCTATTCTTTCATTATTAACTTCATTTTTTAATTTGAATTTTTTATTTTCTATATTTTTTTTGTGAAATTGCAATCAATATATCGTTCAGTTAAAAAGTTTCTATATCGTCCTATGTGTTGCATTAAAAAATGTAAGTTTTATTTTTCAAAAAAAAAAAAAAACTCAGTTAGTAGCTTGAGTGCCAATGTGTTTATAGATTGCAAATTTTAGGAAGGAAATGTATAGAAAAAAAAAACAATAATTGTATGTGCGTGTGTGTGTGTGTGTTTTTGGATGTTAAATCAAAATCATTTTTTAGTGTTAATTTTGTTAATAGTAATGTCTTTTATCCCACTAAAAAAATATCTTTTATCAAATAATTTTTAATTTTTTAATTTTTTAAATTGATCAGATTATGTTGTCAATGTCAATTACACATTTAATACTTAATAACATTACGTAAATAATAAATACAATATTATATTTAGGTTATAATATATAATTTTTATTATATTTTATATGATGGAAAATAAATAAATTACATCTTTCAGCTTCAAGGAGAAGAGAGAGGGTAAAATCCCCAAATAAATTCCCCGCGCGCGCGCGCATTTGTTTTGCGACAGAGTTATGAGTGCAGACAGCAGAGTAATTAAGAAATAAAAAAATTAAATAGTTTTGAAACATAAAAAACCAAATATGAATTATATATATTAATGAAATTCATTAAATATATTTTATAATCTTATTTTAAAAAAACATATAAATTTTTAAAAATACTCTTTATTTAATATAATATTATCTATGAAATATTACAGAGAGAGAAATATATAATAAGAAGGGATTTACCGTTTTCATCTCAAATTATAAATTATTTTTAAATAAAATTATAAGTAGCAATAAAACTCATTTTTTATTGACTGTCTGCCAAACGGGCTAACCAGAAAAGTGAGAATGGTCGCCAGATGTGTTAAATGAAATTTTCACTTTTTATTAATTTCTATTGATTTGTTCTAAAATATACAGTGTGATACTTTTTTTTTTTTTAATAGATACAGTGTGATGTTAAATGTTAGGGAAAAGTAACCAGATTTTATATTTCGAAATATTACTTCTTACAGATGATCGGAAAAGCTGTTGTAATACCAACTTCATGGGAGATGGAAGGAAAATTAAATGAATGATTTAATGTTAAAAATATTTATTGTAAATATTAAAATTAAAATTATTTTTAAAAATTGAAACCCATATTTTTATTAAATATTTTACTGAAAATATTGCATTTTAGATTGTATTTTTGTCAGAATAACTTGAAAAAAAGTTTTGACCTGATCGGCGCGGTGAATTTGGCTAAAGATCTTGTAATGCCTTAGCGGTTAAGGTGAAATTAAAAAGGAAAAAATTTTTAATGAGAAACGTAAAGCTTTTAAAATTTGAAAATTTTATTATTGAAATAAAAGTAAAGAGTTAATTGAAATAATTTTATTGTTCTTGACAAAATTAGTCATGTGAACAATTCGTGTAAGAAAATTAATAACTTTTTTATATAAAATAAACAATTAACATAAGTAAAATTTATAACTTTTACTAATAACATAACACTAATATAAATATAAATAAATAAGTTAAATACATGAACAACTTATATAAAAAAAATAAATAATTGATGTAGGTAGAATCAGAGTTGTAAATTTATATTAGCATTATACTGTTCATTAAAGTTGTAAATTTTACCCACATCAATTGCTCATTTTTCATATATCAGTTATTAATTTTTTTATATGAGTTATTCATACACCTAATTTTATTAAAAATAATAAAATTATTTTAATTAATTTTTTAATTTCATTTTAATCTCTTATATATACAGTGAAATTTTAAAATTTTAAAAGCTTTAATTAAAAATAAATTGAATCAGGGGTCCTCGTTAAATTTTTCGAATGGGAAACCATTCGAAGCAGTACTTTTTTCTTTTTCCTAAAAAAATTTGAGGCAAATATCACTTGGCAGGGATTGACGTGAAAAGTCAAATTCAATGCTCCTTATCATAAATTTGTGGCGGCGGTCCTCTCTATCATCAAGATAAGATTATCCCTATTCCTAGTCATACTTGTGTCATTTTGGTTTTTTTTTCTTAAAAAAAATTTATGTGGGACCCTTAATCAAAGATAATAAAAAAAAGATTCCTAATTTTTTGAAATTTTACTAAAAGATTCATACACAATTTCATTTGAATTTATAATAAAAATAATAAAATTATCCTTATTTAAATGAACAATATAAATAATTTGTTCGTTCTCATACTATATATTGTTCATTTATTCATAAAATATTATTCATTTTTTTACTTCACTTATTTATAGTCCTGCTTTCACTTGAATTCATGTTAGGGCCATAAACAAGTAAAGTAGAAAAACGAACAATATTTTATAAGTAAATGAACAACATATAATATAAAACAAACAAGTCATCTTATCATAAAAACCAACACTTAAAATAAAATTAAGTGAAACTAGAGCTATAAACAAGTAAAGTAGGAAACGCACAATATTTCATAAGTAAATGAACAATATAGGAGTGAACAAGTCATTTATGGTGTTCATTTAAATGAGGGTAATTTTATTATTTTTGTCACAAATTTGATAGAAATTCCTTTCAAGTCCTTCAGTGAAATTTTAAAAATTTTGAAGTCCTTTTTTTTATTATTTTGAATCAAGGGTCCCCACCTGAAATTCTCTCTTTTTTCTTTTACCCATGTTTGAATTGAAAGAAAAATAAAGAAAAACATAAAAGAAAATGCTCTTAAGAATAGTAAAAAAATTACTATCTTTAAAAAAATTTCTTTTTTTATTTTCCCTTTTTCCTACTTTCTTTCTACTTTTTCCGCAATGTAAATTAATTTAAATATCTTTTTATTAGAGACAAGTTTCATGGAGGCAAAGGTGACATTTGTATTAGAGGGAGCAATTTCTTTTGCATCACATCTTCACCCACCTTGTCCAAGACTATGACATATTTCCACTAAGTTGACAAAGGCTAAAACTTGTATCCAACGTCTTGAGGAGACGGTTACCTACTCCAAAACTAAGCACATGTTTCCAATGACTTGAGAAGACCGTCGTTTACTCCACAAGACTTGTGACTTTCCTTGGCAACTTAAAAAGAAGTCCATTCTATACATAGGTGAGAGTTAGATTTAATAAAAATGACTAGTTTATTTTTCATAATGTATTTAACTAAAATTTGAATCTTTATTAAAAAAAGCATCCACATTATATGCTTGATCGTGCCTCAAATAATTTTTTTCAATAAAAGAACACATGCACATATATTCTTCCAAATATATGTGCTTTTCCGTGAAGAAATTTCCATTGCAAAGCCAGAGAACCAAAAAGCATCCTCAGATGCTCCATTCACAATGGCTTGGTTTGCGAACTCAACTGACCGTGTGAGAACATCTATTATTGCTCCCAACAAGAAAGAATATTAGAGTGAATTTTAAATTTTAATATATAAATGTTACTGCTAAAGAAGTTTAGTTTTACTGTTAAAATTAATTCTCAAGAAAAAATATAACGTGTTATTATGTGTCTGAATCAGAGTGGAGGAAGCTTTAATTTACCCGTCAATAACTTAACTCCGTGAGATTCCAACGTCTATGATGTAAACAAGAGTACTGAGAGAATGTAGAAACACACCTGGTTCAGGTGGAAACTCTGCCCCATCAGCATCTGAAACTTCCAAGCAACACAAAGAATTGTGATTGTGCAAGCTTCTTTGTTCATGGACATTGATGTGGCTGTGGAAGTTCAACAGAAAATAGAACAAGGCTGTTTTCAAACATTCCAAAACCAACGAGCAAACCCTTTGTGTATATTGTGATTGGATCACCCACAAGCCCTGCTAATCACAAGGCAAAGAGATTCTAATAAACTATGCAGCACCATCACTGAAATTCAATTCACATTGATGCAACAAACAAATGCAAGATGCATGTGAGATAGTGGGTAAAGCAGAAGGAACAAAACCTGGCAATGAAATATGTTTTCCTAATGCATAAAATTGAGAGGCAACATTTGAGTTGAGCGTTTGTTCTTTTAAAGAGAACAGAGTTGAACCAGCAAAAAGCTTCTTCATGGACTTCATTTGCGATGCTTTAGATTGAGAACCCGAATGCCAGAGTAAGCTCATATTTCCATTGCTCTCAACAAGAATAATGCCAGAGTAAATGCTGCAAAATTCAGCAACTGTTATGGTTTAACGAAGTTCTTAGTGTAAATTATGTGTAATGAAATGTCTTTTATTATAATTAGAAGCATATATGCAATTGTGTGCTGACCAACAATACAAGAAGCATTTTTCCTTTTGGTAAGTATATTTGTTATACGTGGCATGCATTGCACAAGTTTATAGACACACATGCAAGCTCCTTGGGCTAGATAGATATATGTTGGTGAACTCTCTGGTTTTTCTATGGAATGGACAATATTCACCTCTCTTCTCTCACTCGTTACCGTTTGAATTTAAGCTTTGAATATAGAAAACTAAAATTTGTCGACACAAAGTTATAAAAGCGATTTAGAGA